GTTCTGCTCGTTCTGCCGCGGCCGTCGAGTCGAAAAAAATGAGGACGTTATGCAAACCCATGATGACGATAAATGCGGAAAATTGAACCGACGAGCCTGAAACGCGACATTTCCCTCCGTCGCCTCTGTATCCTCTTGAGACTTTGAGCGAGTCCGTATTATTGGCATCCCCCCGCCAAATTGCACTCAGTGGCCTCGGGGTAGGGTTGCCCCGAGGTAACCAGCAGCTGCATCACCGAACCAAAAGGAATGCGTCGAGAGAAAATCCAAGTCCCGAGAAAATAAATGTTCATTCACAAAATGCGGGTTGTTGGACGTCTGAAAGTATCACGTTTTCCAATTTTGTCCACGAAAATTTTACGATGTCTTAAATTGCTTTAATCCGAATCACACGACCAAAATGAGTTTCCCGGCGAAATGATCGGAAAACTCGAGATGAATTTCAGAACCCCTCCTGAGACCAAAAACGTCTCACCTTCGGAAAAAAAATTGTGCAATTTCGTCGACGAGCGAGAGCAATCCAAACCGTTCCTTCGCGAATCCACCGCATGTGGACCGTATCTATATAGCACCGGTCGTCCGTCATGTCAGATACGCATCGGGATTCCGATACATGTCGACATGGTGACTCACGGGTACTACTGCTCTTATTTCGCGTCGGCGAAATGCGTGGAAACTTCTGAGCGCCGGAAATTCCAATCGTAAATTAAAATTTTTGACTCGGCTTCTTTATTTCACCGTCTCCCGAGCGCCTTAAATGTAAATCATTCGCACACGAGAGACGAAGCGCGATATCGGAGGAAACATATCGCCCATCTGTTCCCCCTTTCGAGTCGACACAGAACCCTACGCAGAACCCGACGAGAACCCGACGAGAACCCGACGAGAGCCCGACGAGAGCCCGACGAGAACCCGACGAGAGTGCCAATGATGATGCAACGACCGTCTGCTCCGCGCGAAAGGCGCAGCTGCTTCCTTCCGATCGCAGTCCGTCCAATGTTGAAACACGGGAGAAAACGGAGAGTTAATTGTTAGAAAGGCATTCTGCATTCCTCGGAATGGGGCAACAGCGGTGCCGAAGATATGCAAAAGAGACCGCAGTGCTCTACATCTCTCGCCTCCAATTCTTTCGTTTCCTTGCCCATCCAAATTATTTGCTTTTGAGGGTCGAAATCACGATTTCGCTCATTTCCCATTTCATTATAATTAATTGCCAAATCCCTGATATTTGATTGCCTGCTGTTTCACGATGAGTTAATTTTATTCGATATTTGTCGCTTGCTGCTAAGTGGCACCCAGAGGGTGTAATTACGGGCTGAACTTGGCCTAATGACTGCGACAGTAGAGATCATGGCTGAAAAAAAAGACCATTTCGGGGGGGAGCTTCCAACCAGCATTCAGCTTGTCGACCTTCGAAGAAGTTTAAAATGCAAAAAAAAAAGTCGTTAGTGCTTCTGGGTCAGTCGCGTATCCACTTGTCCACCTGTCATTGATTCTGCGTCGCAGTTTAGTTAGCATATGTATGAATATCTTGAGCAGATCGTACATCAAAACTGTACAACACGGAAAGAAAACCCCGGAGGGCTGACCTTGAGTGAAGACTGATTGGGGGAAAGATGGGGGGAGGGGCCCCCGGGGGAAAGAGGGGGGGAAGAGGGGAGAAAGAGGGGAGCTGAGATCGTGCTTTCAATTCGACATTCCAACGAATTGACCAAAGAGGAACTATAAACATAAATCGTGAGATCCCTTATCTCCATCGATTCGGTGGAACGACCAAATCTCTCACAAAATCCTTGAAGAATCGAAAAATCGACTCGATCCGGAAAGAAAAAACTTCCTTCTGGAGAGTGAAAGCACCTGGTAGAAGATCTCTGTCCCTCGAGCCTTCCTGATCCAGAGGAACTGGAGTTCGAACGCGGAGATCGCAGCCTAGGAGCAGGTGGAGGGGCATCCACTCCTGCCGGCTCTCTCGGGATGTCGTCCCACCGATGGGGGCGACGGCATTCCCCGACTTGCAGGCCTCTGGGTGACACCGTCGCTTCCTCGGTCCTCATCGGTACTTCCACGACTTCCTTCCACTTCAAAGCCTCTTTTGTTCTCGATAGTTTAAACAACTAACCCATCATTAGATTTCACTTCCTCTCTTTTCCAAGATGTGATTTCGAACAGCAATCCAAGCCCCAATCGTAAATATAGGAGGAGAGACCTTGCACGTGAGATTTTCCGTTCCCATATTCTCTCGTGCGAAGACTTTTCTCCTCGAAATTTCTCCTCGAAATTTCTGCACGGGAGTCAACAGTTTTATCCACCTTTCGTCTCTCTTTCCTCTCAGTTGTTCGAGTTCAGAATGTTGAAATAAAATCGTGACGCGTGGTTTTCCGATACCTGTGGCTATATCTAATGACTATCTCTCCTCTGAATCTTGACTTCATCCATAACTCTGGGAGATTAATATTTTTATCTTGTTATATGGGTGTGGCGTACATATGGAATCATTTCGCATCCGTAAATCTACATCCACGTGGAGGAAAACTGCCAGATAATTCCTATTTTGTTGAAAATGTACAGCACTAAAGAAGGTGCTGCTAATATCTACGGTTTTCCAGCTCGTTGATAAACAAAATTCTCAGACGATGGATGAATTCAAACTCAAAGCACCATATGAAGGTCTCCCGATTCTTAAAAATTCTTCCAGGAACGCGAGCAACGAGGGAGAAACCCGCTTGAGCTTGAACGATCTGAAGGATAAGAGGACATTAAGCGATTCTACTGAATGCGATCACGTGACCCGGAAGACTCTGCATAGACACAGAACGAGAGGACGCTACTCTACATATTCTACTTCTGCGGCATGGGAATCGTCGTTTGAGATTGCTTCGAGATGACCATGCAGGTTGCCTTAGGGCTGGTTTAGGCATGCGAGAGCTCTCACTTGGAAGTTACTCGCATGATGGATCGTTTTCAATGACCACTACTGTCCGTGAAAGTACTTCTGAAGAATACAGAAGGCTCAAATGGAAGTGGAAGTAATATACTCTCACGGACATCGGTTGTCTAAAAAGACTATCGCGGCTTTTGTGCAGTATAATCGCTCGAGTAAACCCCTAAAAAGGCGTGTTTACACATGCGAATACACTCGAGTAGAAGTTGCTTGAAAGACGTATTGATCTCGCAGATGGTCATTGCCCATGCGAGTACTTCTGAGAAAAGCAAAGACTCACACACTTCTGCGACGCGTCCTCTCGGGCAATCCCCGTCCCCATAAGCGACCTCTCCTCTCGACGAACCAGAGCAACCAGAACGCGATGCAGCCGGGCCCGCACGTGGGAACGCCTCCTCGCGTGACCTCACCCGAAGCGCCTTGACCTCACCTCCTCGGCCCAAACCGGCCCACCTTGGCAGAACCTGCCTCGGCGGGAATGCAAGACGATTCGTGAGAAGGGCGCGTGCTGTTTCATAACGTTGGGCGAGGTGAATTGTAAAAATTAGAAAAACTTTCGTGGATCTACCTCAGTAGGGAGGGGAACCGATTGCGTCTTCTTCTTGCTTGCTGTGTTTTCCTACGTCGTATTTATTATGTTAATCTGGAGGTCTTTTATTTGCATAATAACTCTGATTTTTTCGTTCCAGACACGAGATAAAAATGGCTCAGTTTAGCAAAGAAAAACGAAGGACTGAGATCTCCTTTGTTTCTTTACCGGGGAGGAAAAAATGGATGACTTGGTAGATGTCTGCGGACATTATTTTAATATGCTCCAAATACTTCTCGGAACTTGTACGTGCAAATATGTTCCCTTGAAACTGCCATGAGTTCAGCAATTTTCCAGAACATGCCCCAGGAGAAAAATTTTCTGCGTTTCTTCAGAAGTGGATCTGATGATGCAATTTTGGCGATGGCAAGAAGTCAGGGACAATATTTCGGAATACATTGCAAGTTTCACAGAGAGAAAATTACCGATCAGGACTTTTTTGAATGCCTCTCTTACAGTTCCCAGCATCTGAATTATTTCCCTCGAAGATCCAATCAACCCACGCACCGAGCGAATTCTCCAGAACGAACTCCATTTCATTCTGAAATGCGCATATCCTCATGCCCCCCCAAAGGCTAATTTCCCGTCCCGTAAAATATTAAAATACCGTCCTTCGTTTTCGGGCTGGACGACATCATTCCCTGCTCAGTTGGCAAGACACTTCATCATCACGCATGATAAATTGTCCCAAGGAAGTCATTCGCATTCAAGGTAAAGGGGAAAGGTATGGAACAGCTTACGACACGAGACCCTGTTTCGATCCCTGGGGCTCGTATCGGCCCAAAGGAAGTCCCAATGAGGCGATGATAACGTTTTTGGCCCTCTCGAAGCCGAAAAGGCGGGCGTTCTCCTTTCCTTTTCCTCGTATCATGCACCGTGAAGCATCTTTGGTCTCCGGAAAAAGTCTACGGAAGTGCAAGTAAAGAACGCCGATTCGCGACGCACTCGGGAAAGTAGGCGAGGGCTGCAGGCTGCTCAGAAAAGAGGCCGAGTTTACAAGTAATATGCAGTCGGTTCGGATTGCCTTCGTACGTTTTCGAAACCACGTCTTATCTCGTATGATCTTTTATTGGCTCAATCCGAAAAATTTGCGGCGTCACTTCGAAAAAGTACGAAGCCAATCCGAAAACGAGCGAAGTCATCCCGAAATCTTTGCACGGAAGCAGTGATTCATCCGCTGATTGATCTCTGTGCTAACGTTGCTTTCGTATCGATGGAATATTCGGGATCCAAGCGATAATTTATTATTTTTTCTTTTTTTTTTTTCAAACCTCGCAAAACCGACCGAAAACGTACTTCGACGGTTACATTTTGAAGTCTCCAGGAAAGCCTTCTCAGCATTTTCGAGGAACGAGAAGAGGAAAACTGCCGGCAACACTGCGCATGCGCGGGAGAGGGGGCAAGTCCAGCTCGCTCGAGCCCGATAGACGTTAAGCGTGCTCGCACTCTGCAACTCGTGTCATATGGTCGGGGTAGACCTTCCGCGGAACTGGTTCCCCACTCCTGTGACGTGCCCTTTCTTCAACTTCACAAATTTCTCCCGTCGCGCAACACGTGCCGTGCGACTTCTCTGTGATCTACTCAGGACCCACAGTTACTTGCCAAAGCATCTTTACTGACGGTGAGTTAGGCCTACGCCTCTTTCTCAGGGAATCCCCCTCCCGCGGAGCCGGCGTATAATTTGGCCATGCCTCTTTCCGGCTGCCACCTGTGCCTTCATCTTCCTTCTAATTGAAGGCGAAACCCCTCGGCTGAGCTATATCATATATCACGCTGGCCGTCTAGCTAGGTTCTAAAGAGTTGTAGAGCCGTTGCATAATTTATCGCCTAGACCGTGCCATCCAATTAAAACCTAATTATTGGAAAACGAGGCATCGAGGGCCTTTGCATACGTATGCCAATGCGATTTTCAACTGGCTAGTAGGCCCCATACCTGGCCGATGTGAAGTGCTGTTTAGTCGACATGTTTGATGGATTATGATACTTGGGGTTAGGCTACGAGATGAAAGATGTGTAAGTTCATATGTAAAGCAGAGACCTTCCTTGCTATTCTTGATGGAGGATGAAAGGATGCGGCATGGGCGGACATCTCACATTTTCCGCATGCAAACAAGCCAGGAATAGTCGTTAATGTCTCGTGCGTAGACCTGGGACACCCTACACTATCAATCTTTCGATTGCCTGATCGGATGGGAGGCGATTAGCTTGCGCAAATAACACCCACAAATACCAGAGGTTCCAGAAACGATGGCTTGAAGGTGGGGGATACATTCTCAGGCGTGGGATTCCCCAAGGACTCGAGATCGGAACCATATTTAAATAGCTGTTCAAGACGATTCCAGGGTGCCTTTGTTATTCTTTTTTAACCCTCCAAGCGACAAACGTCGCAACTGCGTCGTTTGCTGTTCGGAGGGTTAATAAATACCGAAGAACTATAATATGAAATATTTAAAATGAGCCCTTTAACCCACCAAGCGGCAAACGTTGTAGTTGTGACGTTAATACTGGCTGTAGAAACGTCGCAATTGCGACGTTTTCCGCTTGGAGGGTCAAGTCCACCGATGGGCTACTAGTTATGAATAGGACAAATGTCTGCCTAAGTAAGGCAATGATGCATGGCTGTGAGGGGGCTGAGAAATAAAAGGGCCGCATGGTTAAGCTGGGGGCTTGGTGCGGCGGTTCCCCTAGGCTCAGGCAAGTAGGAATTATGAACCATAATACCAGGGAATTCGCAAGTTCACGGTCAAGGAGTTTTTTCATCTTCCTTTCCAAAATCGGGTTGAAAGCAGAAAAAAGGGAGAGTTGTGAGAGGGGGAGCCCGTGTTTCATGTCAAGGGCTGCCTCATTCGAAAGGGAAAGTAGTTCCTTCTAGAACTAACAGGAGGTATGGAATAGTTCAGGTTACCGCTTTTTTCGCATTTTCCAACTCCCACGGAAGGCCTCGTCCTTGTAGAAATGGTGTATTTCCTCCATTTTCTACATGATGAGTGACACCGGGAGCAGCGAGGCGTTTGACGCGTGAGACCTGAGGTGGAAGTTCTTGACGGCACGGTGTCGTGCTCTTCTTCGCACTCTTGTCAGCCTTCATTTCTATTCATGCTTGCGTTTTCCTCCCTCGTGTGTCAGTAACGTTTTGTCTCTTGTATGAAGTAAGCGCGAAGCCTTGAATAACGCCCCCAAACACTGAGAAACCGCTTTGAGTCATACTCTAAAGATCCGAGACGATCTAAACAGATGGGATACAAAGATGTCACCTAGTAGGTGCTAAGAGGCAAAAAGGGCGTGGCGTTCTTGGCGTGTTTGCCATCCTTCAATGAGCACAGGGGGAAAAGGCCCTTCACCTCCACGTGAGCATCCTTTACAGTCCTGAAGGTGCCCTTGATTTCGCGTGTTTTGTGCCCCCCAGTTCAACAACGCAATATTGATAGAAATCAGACAGGACAATGCCCCCAATAATCTATCTCATCAATTCGACCTTGAGGTTTTTACAAATATATGAGGCCCCCCCGCCTAAAATCCTGGCATCCCCTGACCAGAGGGAAAGGCAGATTCGCCCCTCCGAGCCACGACATCATGAAAGAAAGGGAAGTCTCGTGCGCCCCAGAGACCTGCAACATGTCAAAGAACTCTTTCGGGAAAGAAGCGTGAGAGATTCGCAAGAGCAGAGACCATTCAAGACAATTGCGATACTTTCTCATAATGACGGTGATTGGCACGCTGCCAGAATACAGGAGGTCGTGACTTTTCACCTCCGGAAAGGGAAGACATAAAATGCGCATCTCCTCTTTCTGAAACCCCACTGGGTGCTTGTGGTCTCCAAAGTGCAGTCAGTACCTGTAGAGAACATTCATCTTTTGAAAGTGAGAGGGAGAGGGGGGGAGATCACTGTCCCTTTCGGTACCTAACGGTACATAGACTCCTCAGGCAATAAATATCATCTCATGCCGCCCTCCAGACTCCCTTTCAGTTTCCGCAGGAAAATTCTAGGATTTCGCATTTTCATTTGTTACTAGGCGCGGGGTCGAATAGTGGTGCGAGCGTGTGAAACGGGGAATGTAGATGAACTTGAGAAAGTGTCCCATTTGGCTCGGCACACCCTTGAAATGTCTTCTCAGGAAGTGACATTGAAGCATTTTGGGGAAGTACAAGCTTATCGGGTAATGAGTAGTCGTTGAGTAATCCCCATTGGTTCACAAATGAGACGAAAAAGAATCCTTCAACGCTTGGTCAGAAATCTCTTCCGGGAATATTTATAAGACTTCCCAGCAACCACAGACTTTTCATCATTTGAGATTCTCCAAGAATATTTGTCTCGTGGCTTGTATGATTAACTCCTTATGAATAAACGATAAATGACGTCCTCGTGGAGGACTAGAGGGGGGGAAAAAGGGGGGAAAAGACATGGACATAGAGAAAAAAGTCTTGCAACATATTCGGGACGGAGTCCTTCTGCGGTTGGAGTCACGTGGCATTACAAATATGTACATGTTGGAAAAAGTAGAGTCAACCAGGCATGAAGAGCCTTGAGTTGAGCTGGTCCGAAGGATACCTGATAGGGGGACGAACTGAAAGGTGCATGGGAGGCTAGGATATGAACCTAGTTTCGAGCAATGAAAAAAGTCCTTGCTCCCAAAATATAAAACATTTTATACGGTGAAGTCAGCGGTGTACTTGGAGACCCGGAACCCCATATCTTCGGGGTAGGAGTGACATCAACCCATCCCCAGTACCAAAGAGGATATCGTGCAATGTCCCATTAAATTATAAAACCAGCTCTCGCCTCCGGTTATATTTTGATGACAGAAGCATCAAGGTCTTTTTTTTTTAATACTTAACGCCAGGCAGAACAAACCCTGACTGTTCATCAAATCCCATCGTATAGGTCTTTTCAGTATGTCTCAATAAGGTCCTTCTCGAGTTTTAACGGAAGGAAAACCTGAACTAAACCTTGGACAGGAGTAATTATGATCAATTTGCTTCTTTTCTGGTTTCAGCAGTTACCTGTTAGGACGCAATTTTATGTCGTAATCACTGAACGTAACTGCGGCTCAATGATATCTAGACCACAAGATTCAGATATTAATCTCAGGGGTTGGTCCGCCCACACCAGACCCACTTGATGTGGTTTCACGATAGTGTCATGTTTGAGGGGGATATGTTGTCAGTTTTCTTTTCAAAAACTCTTACCGAATTCTTTGAAAGGTAAATGTCTGAGAATGGCGACGCAAGCACGCGACAGTCTGGCGGCAACGTTGCCCCACCACTTCCTCCTCTTCTTAACAAAGACCTTGACATTGCAACCTGGGTATGAACCCTTCCCTCCCTCTACCTGGGATCTCGGAGGGAAGAGAGAGAAGAAAGAAGGGAAGCGATGGGATTGTGTAAGCCGGGAGAGGTACGAGCGAGCCCTGGCGACGAATCTTCTTAGATCGGTGAAAGTGACAGTCCCGAACTCCCTGGAGTCACGCGGGGTTCTGTCTCCTTCGCACAGAAACTAAAACCCGCCTTAGTAGTTTGTGCTCCTGATTTATTCATCACGGATTGTTCCAAGTGAAGGGACTTCCCGCGTTACTTGTGATTGGTGCCCTGGTGCCCTCGACCTCAGTCACGACTGTCAAATGAGTGAAAAGTGCCTTCTCGGAATGCTACTTAATCGAGCGGTGGTTCAGGATCATCAAGGGTAGATTATTTCTCATGCGTCGCATGGTTTTAATACCGCGCAGGTAAAATCTATTCTTTTTCTCTGATCCTCTTCAATCAATACAAAACTTCAAGGAACTGTAAAAAAAATTATTTTAGAGAAATCCTGATGTGTATGATAGGTAATGGTATTTTGAGTTTTCTAGCAATATTCCTGAGAATATTTTCTTTTACCCTTGTCTTTACAGGTCGTGAGTAAGGATTTCCAGTGAGCCGGGAGTAATAAAATTTAGTATAAAGAGAAAACATAAGGATGGGTTGTCACCTGGCCTGGGTGGATCAGAAACTGAGCTACGCGGCGGGACTCCTGGGAGTGGCCATCAGCAAGAGACCTGGGTATTTCTTCCTCATCCCCGTCCTCGTCTGCTGTGTCTTCATGACAGGAATCCAGCGGCTGGAGAGTCAGTACGAAGATGACCCTGAGTACCTGTTTTCGCCCACCGATGGTCGCTCGAAAGTGGACCGGGCTGTCATCGAGTCCTACTTCCCAATGAACTTCAGTCAGTACCGTTTCGATCGACACACACAGAAGGGCCGCATGGCCCGGGTGCTCATATTCCCCAAGGACAATGGTACCATGCTCAGAACGAAGTATTTTAAAGAAGTCCTCTTCGTCGATCAGATGGTGCGAAATGTATCGTTCATCTATGAAGATAAGGTGAGTTGGCATACCATAGCGGTATCGTTTTTGTGGATTGCATAACGGCCAATATATACATAAACATGCGCACGTGGTCCTATCGCCCTCTAGGGCATTACACCTATTCCCTTTTTTTCCCTTTCTGCTTGCATAACCCGTTATCGAAGCTCTCTACCCGAGCTCATTTCTCATGCCTTCACGCATTCGTCTCGGCCTTTCTTTCCCACCCATTAGCTCTCAATGATTATGTTGACACCCAGTCATAAATGTATTCTCAGGTCTCCTTCTCGGGGAACACTTGAAAGTATTGGACTATTGTAGTGAGTGAGAAGAGTTTCCTGTAGAATCACACGAAGTCATTTCCTACGTGTTCCATTTATTGCTTGCCGTAAGAAACGAATGAAGGTTCTCCTATCTTCTGTTCATTCAAGTACACTGGCTTTCATGTTTTGACAAGTTCGGGTCAAGACATCGCTATAAAAAGAGGCTTCTGAATGACAAGATAATGGCAAAACGAGAATTCCCTCGAGTTTCTGCCATTACGCTGCACTTTCGAGATCGGTCTGAATTGATTTCGTATCCTTGGCGAGGTCATACTCTATTTCCTGGAATGGAAAGACAAAACCCTGGATGAATTCGCATCTGGGATTCTTCAGATCGCTATGCTCTAAAGAATTTTCTGCATAATCACTTGGGATATCGGTTTGCAGGAGCGTAGCTGAAGGAAGTCAGGATCCTGCTTCCCTTTAACATGAAAATCTAATCCCTCCTACAGCGTTAAATTGTCATAAAATAGAATCTCTCGTTCCTTCCCCTCCCCACATTGGGTTTTCCAATCTCATATAAATGAATGAATTAATTAAAATACTTGTTTATTTTCATAAAAACTCAAAAAGGTGTCTGAGAATTTGGAGAGAAGTAATTGCAAGATACTTTGGGGGTTTAGATTTTTATGGTTGCTTATTCATGAATACTTCTTGTGTAATAATGAATCCATGTGTAATAATGACCTATGTGCAGGAAGTAGAGTCGAAGTTGGAAAGGTACCAATCAAATATCAATGCTGAATTTTTAGGGGGAGGGGAGCTGATTTCACTTCCTGCTTAATACATTCACTAATCGGTAGGCGTTCGTTCGTTCATGCAGGAGCTTCGGTTCGCGGACGTGTGTGCAACGTGGGACGGTGAGTGTGTGGGACCCGGGAAGGAGTTGAGTTTGATGGACATCATGCCGGATTTCGAGACGGGGAAAGAGAATCTTACCTCCCCCATCTTCATTCACCCAGTCACCTTTGACACCTTGGTGGTACCCTATATATTCGGCGGGATCCAGACCAATGGGGAAGGAGTCGTGACAAAGACAGCTGGGGTCTCCCTCCTCTATTGGCTTCGCGCTGGGAATCAATATGAAGATAAGAGGTGAGTTCGATCATGCAATACCACGGTTCCTGCCAGCCATGTACATTCCGATCTAGGGAAAGTCATGTTTCGAAGCATGCTTCCAAGGATCGACTCAGAAGTTCAGGAGAAGTCATTATTTTTTTGCGCGAGAAGCAGTTCTGGAGCCCCCAAGAAAAAATACAGGATATGAAAAGTTTCTTTCTTTTTTTCCTCCTGCCAATAAAATGCGGAAAGAGAACAGCGTAGCTTTCACCCCTAAGTCACCAACGGTTTCCCTTCCACGTTTTGAGGAAGAGAACCCGGTCAGGGGCAGAGAATGAGTGCAGGTTTTTAAAAACCTGTAATGAGGAGAGAATAACGGGATATTACGTCATGGTGTGGACAATCCGGTCTCTTGTAAGTACATGAACCCCGGCTCCCGTCAGTGGAGTTAGTCTTACTGGCGCATGCTTTGTATGAGCGATGGGTCTTTACTTTACAAGGAGATCTCTCCATTTTTCTTTTCTCCCGCTCCCCTGGCTTCCTTCCCCACTCCGGCTATGAAGCAACAGATTATGACGTAACTCCCCTTAGGTGCATCTGCCCTCACCCTAGGGCAGATTTTCTCCCCCTCACACCCCATCTATTCACCTGGAAAGTTTCTTGGCGGAATTCTTTGGTAATAAAACCAATACTGGTCCGTTCCGTCATGCTGGCTACACTAATTATGCGAGCATTTTCTTCGCCTCTTGCGGTAAATAATTGAGACTGCTTCCGCTTATTACTCTAAGGAACCTCTTCTTGTCAACTCCCTTGTTTTGCACTTAACACAAAGTACAACCTCATGCTATAACATCTCTGCATTCGAAAGTAGGCATGAAAAATTGCAAATTAGAAGCGGTGGCTAAAAAAAAAGATGCTGTTAAAAAGAGTACTAAGGGTTGAACGCCTAATAACAATCGATACGGTTTCATCTTCTCGTAAGACCTTCGACATAGCCTTGCCGTTGGGTTTGGGGAAACCCCCGAATGAAATTACTCAGGGACTCACAAGGGCAGGACTGGTCTGTTTTAGGGAGGAGTCCTGAGGGGCAGGTTCCTCGTCCATAGATGGTAAAACATGTGACTTGATCTGTTGGGGATTCTCGGAATTCCCCCACCTCTATTTACTTACATTCCCCTGCTCTCTGACCTCTTTTTCTTCCCACAACGGTTGCATGACAATTGCAGATTTTTCCGGTCCGCCCGAAGTTGATGGGTTAATAGCAGGCCTAGAACATTGTGTGTAAAAAGCCACGGGAATAATAAAATATGCCCACAGGGGCTGAAACGATGGGATTGGCAGGAATGCATGTTCGTTCGTGGACTATTCTCGACGTTCGAAGTATTCTGAAGAAGAATTCTTCGAACAAAGAATGGTTTGTAATGGAGGAGAGGCATCGACCCGAGCGGAAATGATTATATTTAGCATCTCCATTAATACCTGTAACTCAGGAGGGGCGAAGAAGAGACAATTAGGGAGCATGACATGCCTGTCATTTTCTCCCCAGGAGCAAGGACACCTGACCACCGTGATCTCATAACCTCGAAGTATTCAAGGTTCACCTGTTAAGCCTACATGTTCCTCCCACACACAGTTAATTTATTTCATCGACGCCCACTTTTGACGCTGTAGCAATACGGAAAAGAATTGACTTTAATGGTTTCGAGCCTGGTTGCGGATTAAACATCTGTGGTGATGCAGCAAAATGTAAGAACATTAATTTCAGAAATTTCACATGAGAGGCATAAAAAATGGGTGTTCGTTACGCCATGCATATGTGTACCACGTAGAATATGTTTTCCTCTCACGTAACTCTCCAATGTTAGAATTATCCAAGTGATGCTGTCACAGATGCGAATGCATGAAAGGCAACGCAAGAAGAGAACGGACCAGGCTGTGTTTGTAATGAAGAGTTCAAGTAATAGATTGGGTAATACCACTATGATGACAGGGATGAAACCGGCTGGTTCCGATGATGAAACTCACTAGCGGAGAAATAGAGGAGAAAAGAAATTTAATGATGCGTACATATTCTTTCCTTAGGCTTTCTACGTGCGTCTTGGCTTCAGCTTCTCTTTGAAAAATCTATCGTTTGAGAAGTAATACATTCCGACTTCCCGCTCGTTCAAATTCATGTTTTTTTTTTGTCGGAGCGGAGCTTGAATATCTTAGTCACATGAGACATAAACGTCAAGTCTCTTCTGAGGAGAACCCCCTCCGCACTTGTTGACGAGGCACCCGTAATACAGTATTCATAGCGATGACAAAAAGTATTCCCTGAGAGGAAATCCGCTCCTCATAACTTATATCCACGTGGCATTTATTAGCTGTCTCCCAGAGACCTTGGCGAATTGCGAGGGGTCTCATGATTGATGGACGGATCAAAAATTGGAGAAGCTTGGTTGACCACATTTCCCATAGTTCATGGTGCAATGTTCGCCATAGATTCTTCCTCAAGGTATTTTTGTCAGAAGAGTAATGGGCGATTGTAAGTAATCGCCCAAAAATTAACATCAATAGAAGGCTAGAGCTCTTCCTTCTCACTTACGGTTCTCGGTGACGTACCGGTAAGGCTAACCATAGAACATCGAATTTGAAAGAGGCATTGATGAAAATCGCAGTTTAAATTCTCATCTTGGAATTTGTCACTGCTATAAATATGTCATTTTAAACTTTATTTGCATGAGAAGGGATGAAATCATCACATTCATAGATATTCGTGGGCAACCATCTTATGAGTCTGATCAGTGATCTTATCCATCTCAGTCGCCTGTTTGGTCGAGGAAATATCCGGATTTCTTTACATGCATTCCTTATAGGCAGCTACCCTTTGTTCCTCCGTTTCCCTTCGACTTTCACCCGGTCCCTGCCTGGAAAGAGCTTGTCGGATTCGGGGACGATATACGGAGGGTTGTATTGAGTTGATTCTGTATTTATTTCATTACGGTGATTGCAAGAAATATTCCTGATATGTTTATGTCAGAAGTACAAGAAAAAGTCATGCGCAGAAGGAGTCATTGGGAAAGGGACTGCATGCGACTATATCTGTCAATGACGGATTCTACACCTGCTCAAATGTCGCCTTTGTTTTCGAGATCTAGCCGTAGAGCCTGCCCCATTCTTCTTGATTCTGCTTGTTGATAAAACTGTCCTTGAAAAATCAAAGTAACATTGAGCATAGATTCTCCAAGGGGGTGATTTTGCTTTTGAATAAGTATTTCAATTCCGTTGGTAAAAGAAGTCCAGTATTCATCGAAATTGGTCATTTCAATTCGTTTCAAGCATATATGTTGCATTAAAAGATGAAGCATTTGCCAAAGCCTTGGAATTGGTATAAATGTCCTTCAAATTCGCTCTAAGTCATCGCAGAAGTCAACTCTCGAAGATCCGCATAACTTGGGAACTGCCTGGTGTATCAGGTGAAAGTTAGGATGATCTTTTTGATTTAAGCCTCCCTGCATTTAAAGGGAGAACAGGTTTGAGAATCTAAGAGATATTGAAGAGAGAATTTCAGCAGAAGTAGTATTACTCGAAAGAAAGTATGTAATTAAGTACCGGATGTTCAAAAAAGGCTCATTTCCATTCGTGTTCTCTGAAGTGAGACATTTCTTCCATGCGAGTTTTACGTTATCTCTAGACTCCAAATATTCTCTAACAACTACTGGGGTCCAAGGATGAAGGGATGTTTACCGAGGAATGTAAAAGCAACAATGCTGTATTCTATTAAGGGGAATAGGAATACAGGTGGATTCAGCTATACAACAAGCGTCTTATCGGCCGCCGCGCGTGACGTCGCGAGGAAAAAAACTTTGTCTGAAGGCAATGCCATGGCCATTCTATAGGGAATGACATGGTTTTGGGTCCCCTGGGCCCGTTAGTCTCATACAAATATGACCATTCTAGCTGTATACAGTATTAGAGAAGAAAGTATGAGAAATTGAAGCAAGATGGGGTTCTGAGCAGAGGGTTCCTGTGGGAGAAGGCAGTGGTGGATGCCCTGGCGAAGCTGAACGAAGGAGGGCTGGAATTTGACGACATCTACTACTTCACGTCGCGGACAACAGAAGAGGAGCTGGAGGCGAACACCAACTCCGTCATGCCCTACTTTATCTTCGCCGTCTTCGTCATGGTCCTCTTTTCTTGCATCACGTGCATGACAGCGGACTGGGTTCGGTCAAAGGCCATTCTCGGCCTCCTGGGCGTCGTCTCTTCCACCCTTGCCACTTTGGGCGCCTTTGGCCTTGTTCTCTACCTCGGCGTTCCCTTCATCGGCATTAACATGGCCGCTCCCTTCCTTCTCCTGGGTGAGTCCTTCTTTTTAGAGAGAGATTTACTCTATGGTCTTTGCCGCTGACGTCATGCAAACTTGACTATATATATGAAGGCTCTTAACTGGAAACTTTAATGCGGAAAGACTCCGGAATCCAAAAATGTATGTCCTTTTTAAAGGAAACATGGGTTTGAGGGAAAAAATGGATTAAAATGTTCAAAACTTAAGAGAGATAACTTATTTCATAAATGTGAGCATTTTATTTATTTTAGAATGTGTCTGAAAATGAGATTGATTGGATCATAGGAGCAGCTGTGCACATTAAAACATGTAGCATTCCATGATTCCCATGAACACACGGGATTACTCGAATCAGCACTTTCTTATCTGAAAAATTCTGCACTTCTCCATGTATTAAGAGAAAATATTTTCCTTCTCCCCCAACAACCAAGCCTTTAGAGAAGTAGTATAAACAATCTGGGGATGAGAAAACGCTTCTAACGATTGAAGGAGTTTTTAATGTTTGCGCCTTGAGATTCTCATTGCTGTTGACAAACCAGTCTTAGGGAGTGTTTCGCGTTCAGGCTACAGACGGAAAAGTACTGGAGTAGCAGAAAGACAGGATTCCATAATACACCATGTAGGTTCCAAGGACTCTCTGCCCTGGCATTCTGAGAATCCAGAATAGTGAAGACCTTTGGTCTGCCCTCAGGGGGATAATAATAAAAAACTATTTACCTCATGCTAAAATTTGAAGGAAAAAAGAATGGTTTAGCTTCGGGAAACCGTGCGGCCAGACTACCCACAGCTTAAAGGAGAATCAAGTCGAAAAGTGATTTTTATTCTAATTTTTATTTTGAAAAGTTATATTTTGGCGAAAAGTGATTTTTCCGGTAACAGAGCCAAATTCCACGTTCACTTGTCGCTGCCCACGACCTTCATGAGTGACCGATGATGAAATTAGGCTCTCTTTTTTTTCTGACCTTTACCTTTGTTAAAGGAAATTGGGGTGATGTCCTTGACTTTTTTTTTGATCCCCTGTCAGTTTTCCGGGATTAGATCGTAGACGGAACAAAAAGAATTTTAAGAGGGAAATTATCGCGAAAATGACTGAGAATCTTGGAGGAGTCAGGGATACTGATCCTGAAATTTTTTATGGGATACCTTGTTTCCGGCCAAGCCTTCACCGCACGGTTTTTTGCCCGACGGTTAAGGACATTAAGCAAAAAGTTTATTATTATTATTTCAAACTAATCACTGGAGGACGCTGCCTGAAAAAAAGATTTCTCCCGCTTTCTCACTCGACATTCCATTTGTGCGAGGCACCTTGGTTTCCGTCGATGGGAAGTTTTACCGTGTATAATAGCAAGCTGAAACTGGTACCTGCAATTAGCATTCCAGACGTTGGTTCTCACTCCTGACGCCAAAATGCCCCAGGTGAATTATGTAAAGATGCTATTATCTTGAATCTTTCTTCTCCCTGACGTTATAATTGGCGTGTCTTTTTTGGGATAGCGTTGAATTTATAGGCATGCGTGCAGTGTCGATGTTTTAAAAATGGCAGTATAAGTTTCTTCCTCTCTTAACCCCTTCAATGCCTGGTTTATTTCCCCTTTAGTTCCCTACAGACATGTTTTTCATGAAAAACGCAAGGAACTGTTATGGGATATGCAGTTATGGCACCGGTATGACATCCCGGAAGTTTTCTGGGACTGCCACTGAAGGGGTTAAGTAATGCCGACAATCTAAGGAGTTCCATTTTCACGATACGAACGATACATAGAAAAGTGACGTCACGGTATCTCCCTGTAAGCATATCAGAAAACGGTTGCGAAAAAATTATGTACTTCATTTGAATCATATCAAATCTGTCATGGAGCTTCGGCTTCATCAGCATTGCCGCTTGGCCACGATGTGACGCTGTCTATCTTCGTCGAAGTTTTGCGACCGATCGCACGTTGCGAAGAAACGTAGAAACGTACGGCCGTCTGCACGAAGCATCTGAGAACGATAAAATATAGTTCCTTTCGGTGCCTATCGAAACGACTTCACATGATAGGGTAAAACGGCAAAACGATCGCTTGGAGACTGACTCGTATACATCTCAAGATCGAGTCGAAGGCAGGTTCGGGCGATCGCATGCGGTCGACTCATACGACGACAGACACATCACCGTACTTAGAGAGGAAGAAGGTGCTTGCTTGGCACAGGCACCATGCTGGCAGTCACGGTCCCTTCGGTAGGCATGCCCTAAAGAAGGCCTTATAGGCAGCTCCCGAGTTGCTTAGGCCCATGACTGACACGAATGATTTTTAAGGTGTACTACACCCGTATCTCCTAGACGTGGGACACAGTGGCAGTGTCTTACCCCACGTTAACCAGACTCTTCCCATGAAAGTTGGTGGTTGTCCGCGGGTAAACAGCGCGCCGTCACGTGGACTCGATCTTCCGCCTCCTGGGTTTCACTGGGGAGCCGGAACCACTCGGCCTTCATTCGAACTCTGACTCAGCCTTCAGGTTTTACATTTTTGCCGATCTACCCTTGTGACGCATGCAAATATGTTTTTTTTTTTGCATCAGTACAGCTCCATCTAGAATTCCATTTTTCGTCTTAGTTGTGCCGGGTGGTAAAGGAAAGTAGTTTTCTTTTAATAGAGAAATCCGCCAGTCTGTTAATGATCTAATGAGCAGACTGCAGGGGCTTTCACCTCTCATCTTCCAGACTGGAAGTATGGCATCGTTGAGGCCAGGATTGTTCGTGATGCCGGTATGAAAGTCGCCGAGGGCGTCACGTCACTGTGACGTAAGAACTCTGTTAGTGCCCACTGCCAGTCGCTACGTGTTCAAGAGCAGGATGGCTTGAGGGGGTCTGGCAAGTGTGACGTCATCAAACTAGCCCACTTGCATTGCGAACGAACCCATTATCTTTCCCTCTCTCCCCGTATGTAAATGCCGTAACTGTGAAGCAAGGGGGAAATTCCGCATCTTTCGATGCTTTTTCACGTGGGGTTCGGTCAAACCTACAGCATGGGAAATCTCCCATTCTACACGTATCGTGAGGCCATATGGCCTCGCGATACGTGTGGCAGTTAAGTAACAAGTATGTGTTTAGTAACCATTAGAACAAATTTGAATGAAATTTAATAGTCTGTTAGAAGCTAGCTGCATTATTAGTACGTTGAACATTTTTCGAAGTGTTTTGGTTCAGTCAGGGGACCAATATCTTTCTTTCTTTCTCTCTCTTTTTTTTTTAATAACCAGAATCAATCGTTTTTGCGATAGAGCGAAGAAAGGCAGACCTGGGGCCTGTTCTTTGCCTCTACTAAACTTAATCTAAATCTGAATATAAACTTAGCTTGAAAGAATTTAAGAAACAGCCAAGGGAGTCTGTTGTTCCTCGCCGCAGTGTCAATCACCGCTTTTAGATCAGATTAACTTTTAACTTAGATTAAGTTAAGCAAAGGCGAGAAACGGGCCCTTGCAGTAGAAGGTAAACGAACCTCGTTATCGGAATGTTCTTGGCTTGAGGAGGGGGATTTCCCCCTCCTCTCCTCATGTTCATTGCTCCAGGCCGTGTCTTCCTGCGGTTCCTTCAAAGGCTGTCGACCTTGAAAAAAAAAAAAGGGGGAATCATTTTGCTATTTCTGAACAACATGAGTGTTCATTCAGGCCGCCATGCAATATCAATATGTTCATCGATTCAGTCGAGCTCCTGGCAACGGATATGAATATCCGTGTATGAAAATCCAAGCCGACACGTGACAGTATGCGTAAATCATCAGATCTCGTTCTTTGAAACGCCGGATGCTTAGGAAACGCATCATCCGCGCTGTACTGCAGTTTTTTTTTCTCGCATAGCAAAAGTACTCAGCAATTATATGATAATTAGAAGTTGATTACCGTCATTTCGACACCGCTAACGACTATAACTCACATCGCCAGCTTGCCATCAAGCTCGACTAGAAAAGAAAAAGAGATAAATGCCAGATAAGTTTTAAAAAAAAGGGGCCTACTGGGTTTTATGGCTAGCGTGGGAAAGGAACAAGTATATTTTGAAACGAATTCTTATGGAAATGAAGTTCCAGGTAGACAATAGAAATATCTGGTTTTTCAATTGCGTCACCTTCGTCATTCCTGAAGTCTCACATTGCGAAAAGATTCCAATCACTCCCTGATTTTCTTTTCCTACATGCCTGATGATTTTATATATAGTGGTGCAGCAAGAGTCGTGTTCCAATCAAGCAGAAATTAGGCGTTCCCGCTCCCGTGTCTGTTCTCCTTTCTCTAATTACGAACGATAGGGCTTGCTCTTCGCCAGTGTCAAATTACTGAAACGACTCAAGAAGGTCTAAAATGCTAAGTGTATTCTTTGCCGATGTTATTTCTTGACCATGTTTTAATCTACATGTATTACGTATAATACATGTATTTTACATCAATGTATAAGCGCTGTAATCTATGGGAGCATTAAACGCGAGAAGAGCGGGCTTGATAATATTCTTTCATTCGGGGCTTCTGGGTTCCATTTGTGTCGATTTTTTACACGTGCTGTTATGATGCCCTTCATATGAACTATACAGGACCCCTCTGAAAGCGACGATCCCGTTAACCTACGAATCATTCTTCAGTTGCAAAAATGTTTGTTTGGACCCCGAAAGAGCTGCAGACTTGAACTAGCTTTCTAGAACTTTGCTTGAGTAAAAGATGCGAAAGTCAAGTGTTTACAGGAAATTGGATGTTTTAGGACCAACCATTACATAGTGAGCTCACTGCTAGGCTATCCTTGCCTCATCTCTTTTCCTTCTCTTTCCGTTTCCGCTCTCTCAAGTTTTTGGGTTGCGAATTCCCATTAAATACTGTGCTGCGGTAATGCCTTGCAACTTATGTTAAGGTTCTTGCCTCAGAAGCAAAGCAATTGATATGAGCAGTCTACAGAGAAGAAGCAAGCTATAGATATGCTTGTATGATTAGGTTTACTTTGAATTGAGATCTGAACAATAAATGCAAGGAACACGTCCCACATTCCTTCAAAAG